CACCACCACCAGTGTGTCTTGCGCACATTACACACTACAAATACTTCTGATGCCAGTGGCCACCGTGCTGTTCAAGTCAAGAGCCATTAGCTATGTTTACATGGACATAAATAATTGGATTAAATTGTCATTAGGAATAAAAATGTGTCATGTAAACGCCCCATTCTGATTATTTTTTGTTTATTCAGCTCAATCCGAAAGAATTTGTGATCAAAATGAGACGGGTGGTTTATGCCGATTCATAATCCGAAAGCTGTTCATGTAAACACTTAATCCGTTTATTTTTTTCTGATTGTGAAAAACTGACCTGACTGCGCATGTGCGACCTATGTCATTTCTGTCTGGCTAATGCTAATAATATTAGCATGTCGGAGAAGCAAAACTGGTCAGTGAGCAACACAACATTTCTACCAGAAACTTTGAAAGAGCTCAAAATGATCTGTATTACCTGTAGCTCAGTCAGGGAGGGCAGCTAACATCTCCACATCATTAAAACCTGTCGTGGGTCCATTTTGGGCTCTCAGGTTTGTTTACGTTCATCCCGGAAGTAGAACTTCTTCTTCAGTGGTTTTTTTAAAGTTTACCACACTACGCATGTCAGTACTTCTGTTCAGAACAAAGCCCGCTGCATGTAAACACTTGCCGTGAACGGATTGTAAACGATACATTTGAATTATTTAATCTGAAAACATTTCAGTCCGGTCAAAGAATTTTGCACATGTAAACATAGCCATTGTCAGCACTGGGGGGCTAAGCGCCCCTAAAGGTCATATTCTAGAATCGCCCCTGGTTGGCAACATAAAAATAGTTCAGAAATCCAAAATGAAATGCAACTACAGTAACATAGACATAGTTCTGTCAAGCCAGTATTTCCCATTTAGAAATTAATTGATGACAATATAATCTAAACAAAATGTGGGAATGTAAAAAAATGTAATTTTGCAAAGATATTCTCTATTGTGAAAAGCGCCATCTGTGCTCACACATTTAACTTTGATTGATCTGCTTTTAAAAACAAGTAATTATTTGGATCTTGTTGCTTAATCTGTTAAATTTACATTTTCATGTAGGTTAATTCTTGTTTTTCTTTAACAGAAAGTTTCAGCCACTGTCTTTATGTGCCTGCTGCTGAGCCCAGATGTCAGCTTTTATAAAGACGTCTGTCCTGCCTGAGACTGAAAAGCTTTAGAAGGTGCTGAACGCAGAGGATAGCACTTGTGTACTGATGACAGGCAGGATGCCAAACATATCACACACCAAGTCACTAAATCCTGTTGGATACAGACAAGAATGTTAAAAGGGACTTCAACACAAAAACAGACAAAACATCATATTCAGATGGTCGCCACGGTCTTAAAAGCCGTACTTTTTTTTTTTTTGTTAAATAGTAACAATCAAAATAACAACCAAGTTGAACTTTTAAAATATTTTTTTGAATATCAGTCTTTAGATGTGGTCATAAGGTGAAAATAATTTCCCTTATTTTGAGAGTGTGCAAAAACAAACTGAAGGATGGGTAACCATTTTTTACAAAAATACAGCTCCTGGCATGTATTGAACCATATTTTCACAAGTTCAGCTTTAACTACAATAATTACTAAATTAAAAGTTAATTTTGGAAAATTTCCTTAAGAATCCTTTGCAGATAATTAATGCCAAATGTGAAACCTTCCACATCAAACGAGGTTTTTCCAGTCTGATGGTTCAACGTTCCTTCACTGTACAAAGTAGATTGTTCAACTTCATTTGAGGCCTAAAATGAATACTGTAGGTATTTTTACAACAAATACTTGTAATAATGCAATTATTTTTGTGAATAAACCTGAATAATTAAAAGCAATGATCTTCTATTTGATAGTGTTTATGTTATAAAACAGATATATATTGACTGTTTCATCAGACAAGTAAAATATTAAACTTATATTAGTTTCAAAACACGTTTAAACTCCAGATATAACTTATTTAAGCGTTACATTCAGGACTATATAGTACTACCATATTTAAAATGAAGTGCTCCTTTGGAAAATAATGAAAGTTATTATAAATTCAGATAATGGTATGTTCATGTAGGACCCCGTGACTGAAAAGGATGACCTTCAATCAGCTGCACATGATTTACTGTTAATGAAAGATAAGAATGCTCTCCAGGCAAAAGTTCTTACATCACCACAAAGGTAAGGCACCAAAACGCATAAACAGTAATTATTGTCTTACACATCTCTGTGGTGCAATGTTGCTAAAAAGCAAAAACAGATGAGGGCTTCAGACAACTTTTCTGAGTAGGAGAGTAATTGGCCCCTTTGAATGACATAAACACAGTCCAGCTGCTGCACACAAACATGGACACACCACATCAGAGCGGCTGCGAGGGAACGCCGCCACATGTGACCGAGGGGGGAATGTTGCTGCGAGTGCCTGAGGGGATTAAACGATGAGTGAATCTGTGTGACGTGAAACTCTGCATCACCCAGAATACAAGAAGAAGGGTGGAAGTGACAGTTCAGTAAATTACAGTCATAAATCCAACCCATTGTCAGCTTGTGATCAGAGCGCTAACATAAATACAACTTCAACCACAGAGCTCCATAACATGACAGCTACTCCATGCTGGTATGTGCAAGGCCACTAAAGAGATCTTCACAATGATTGAGAAATTTATCAAAGCTGTCACTCATTTAATAGTCATATATTGAGAAAATTACAGCTCTTTCTTCATTAGGCTATTTCATACTGCACACTTCACATGCCTCTTTCCGCTGACATGAATATTATTTTGCACATATAGGGCCTCCAAAACCAACACACACACACACAAACACCATCACAGAGCTATAAAACACACAGCAGATACATAGATCAAGGTGTGGGGGCTCCTTTACACCGTTCTCCACCATGAATTACCCCTGAGCACCCATTGCTGATTGTCATTACTCACAATCCACAACAATAATGTTAAATTTTATATCCAGAAAAGAAGGTGTTAAAAGAGGTCTGCACTGACGTCAAACAGCTGTTTTTGGTGGAAAAAAAAAAAAGTGGGCTTTAAATTATCTAACAAACAGCAGTTATAAGAATCAAAAACAATCCAAAATATTAGAGATTCAATAAAACAAAAAGTGAAAAAAAGAGGGTTGAAAGAGTCTTTCCTTTGAATGCCCAGCAAAGACTACTTCCTAAGAAGACTAAAGAAGCTTGGTACGAACACCAGCACCCTCATCAACTTTTATAGGTGCACCATTGAGAGCTTGCTGACAGGCTGCATCACAGGGTGGTACTGGAACTGCACCAGTCAGAAAGCTCTACAGAGGATGGTGCAAACAGCAAAGGACATCAGTCTCCACACCATCCAGGACATGTACCACAGCTGCTGTCTGCGTAAAGCACGCAGCATCATTAAGGACCACACCCACCCAGCACAAGGACTCTTCCATCTACTATCCTCAGGCAGACGATACAGGAGTCTGCCATTGTGCACAAAAAGACTAAAAAACAATTATTATCCACATGCTGTCAGATTACTGAACTCTTGATAAATAAGACTGAACAACTGGAAATAACTTTGCACCAAGCCACATCTGTGACAACTAATATGACTAATATTAGCTTGTGACAGTTAATATGTTTATTGTTTATTGCTGCTGCACTATGTGGCTGTATCATGCATGATACAGTATATGTATCAGTTGTGCTGTTGAAGTAAAACAGTGGAAGACCGTTTCTTCTTTCTGCTAATGCCACATGACCATCATCATAATTCAATCTCAATCTTAGTCACTACCTGTGCAATAACTTGTCACACAACCTGTGTAGTTTACGTTAGTTATGTGCAATATGTATCGTGCATTTTAGCTTATATTACTACCTTAAAATACTTGTTCATTCAAATTCATCCTACTTGCACTGTTATATTCTACCATGTTGTTGTTTACTATTTTCTCTTTAGGACCTTGTAAATATTATAATTACTTTTTCACTTTTTGGTACTTTATTTTGTACCCCTATTGCATGATTTTAGTATTTCTTGTTTGTTTGTTTTTTTGTTTTGTAGCGAACCAAATTGGTTCTTCTCATCCTGAGCATTTCATTGTACTGCTAACTTTGTGTTAACCTGCATATGACAAATAAACACAACTTGAACTTTAAAAAATCTGTTCTGGATCTAATGAAAGGTGAATCATTAGTCTATATTTGAGGTTCATCTTTTTTCAAGCTTCAAAATAAACAGATATTTTGATATATCTTTTATTTCATGAGACCTTGAAAACCACCCTTTTTTCACTAGGAAATGACAAGATCAACCATTTTTTTTATATATATTTCAGAAACAAAGTCTATAAATGAGGAAGCAATCCATTTTAAATTAACTTGAGTGTAAGCCAGTTTGTGTTTGCTGCTCAGAAAACTCTGAACATATAGAAAAACTATAACGTCTGATAAAGTCTTGTACTCATCATGAAGGATCCAGTGGTATTGGCGTGTGTGGTGAGGGATATATACTTTGGAGGCGATTAGGATAGTTCTGGTACAAACTTGACACTACAAGGAATTTCCTGTCGTGTGGCGTTATCTGAAAGAACAACAGTCTTCCACTGTTTTACTTCAACAGCACAACTTCAACAATGGAGTTGCTGATAAAATATTTGGGCTTCTGGCGGGTAAGCTAACTGCTGATGTGATTCCTGTTAACACCTAAACAGAGTTCAGTTCAGTGATTACAACGGATCAGAACTGTAGGCTTGAGTAAAAACTCAAAAGGATTTTTTTTTAAGAGGAACATTCAGTTTTATTCTTTATAAGTCCTTGACTTATGGAGTTTAATTAAAAAAAAATGCTTGAAAGGAGCGCTAGCATTTAATCCATACAATTAATGGAGAAATTTTCTGTGTTGGTTTAAATCCAATTGTTGACTATAAAAAAGTTGATTAAGCATTTCACTAAAAGACTAAGGAGGAGGAAAAGCTCAATTCTGAACATATAACCGTACAGATGTTTCTGCATACCGTACTGGCAGCTGGACCCGGTAAACCCTGCAGGACAATCACAAAGCTGGGCCGATCCTTCCCGACACCGGCCCCCATTGAAGCACACTCCATAGCTGCACATCACTGCATCATGTGCACATGTGGTGGGAGAGAAGAGACAGAACAAATGTGTGAGTGAGGTGAAAACACCTGGCTGCTTTCATGAGACTTAAACACCTGCTGTTTAAAACACTGACCTTATTCTATCAAAGACTCATCATCAAGCCATTAACGCGTCTTAAGAAGGACTTTGACTCGTCTCTGTTCACACTAACCAATGTAAGAGGAATTTGCCACTTGGCTTGGAGTATAGAAGCAGTTTTTTTGGCAAGCTTAAAGAGATATGCTAACTACATGTTCACAGCATCCACGCTGTGTCAGAACTGACAGCAACAGCTTGCACAAATATGTTTTATGGTCAGTTTTACATTAAACTCACATGTCGGAAAACATTTCCTGAGAGTGACTGACTCGACTTTTACTCATTGTCACAAAGTATGATGAAACAGATGTTTCTGGTTGAGTTATAAGATAAAGCGCACAGTGCATCATAGGTTCAGCTCATCCAATAGGAGCAGAAATCTGCCCAGAAGTGTCCGGATGTCAAACTGGCTTTGCAGCAAACAGGAAAGTCAAAGAATCTTAGATACCTGAACAATGAGAACCAGTAGGTAACTTCTAATACACAAATCCACTTCAGAGCTGCATAAATCATCATATTCCATAAATCCATACAACATTCAATATTCATGGCAGGCTGTAGGTAAAATGCACATCTGCCTGAGTCTCCCTGCTTATCTGATTTGTGTTAAGGCTGTTGACCATGTGAATTATGACACAGCTATTTCTGTGAACTGGTCTCCATTGCTTGTTTTTTGACAGGCCCAGAGGACTGACATCCTTTCAAAGCTGCTCCTGCAACATGTGGACAATGGGAGTAGAAAAGGTGAAGAACAAACTTGAGCTAATCTTAAGAAGCAGAAATGAAAATCCTTCCTCAGGTTGTCTGAAAGTCATCTTAAATTACAATCATCTATCAGATATGAGTTCTTGTTCATGTAATCCTATCAAAGAGAGCACGATCAATCATAAAACAACAGAACGCCCTTTCTAATGTCATTTGTGGTTTTATATGGTCAAACTGAGGGTCTCAGTTTGCTCATTCAAGTTTAGACAGATGCAAAACTGACAGAAGATCATGTATACATGTACAGCAACCACTGTAAGACAGATACATGGTGACACACAGCAGACGATGAAGTGAAATCAAATTACCCTCTAAAATTGTAACTGAAGTCAGGATGTGAAAGACTTTTTATATACACACGCACATCAAATCTTACAAAAACCACTCAGTAATTGTTCAAATTCCTGGTGTTGTTTGTGTTATTACTAGTGAGCCACGACCATCGCAAAGGCATCTTTCAGATATTCAATTCAATTCAATTCAGTTTATTTGTATAGCACCAAGTCACAACAAAGGTCGTCTCAGGGCACTGAAATAAAACTCAAAATAATTTCTAAACACAAGTCAGATTTCACTTATTATTTTATCAGTGATGTCTCATTACCGGCGGCGCGGTGGCGCAGTTGGTGGAGCTGTTGCCTCTAAGTGAGAAGGTCGCCGGATCAAATCTCGTCCACGGACCATTTTAGGTGGAGTTATCATGTTCTCTTCGTGCATGCGTGGGTTTTCTCCGGGTACTCTGGTTTCTTCCCACAGACCAAAAACATGCATGTTAGGCTGAATGGTAACTCTAAATTGTCCCTAGGTATGAGTGAGAGAGTGAATGGTTGTTTGTCTCGTTTGACTCTATGTGTCCCTGTGATGGACTGGAGACCTGTCCAGGGTGTACCCTGCCTCTCACACAGTGACTACTGGACATGGGTACCAGTGACCCCCATGAACCGAAAAGGAAGAAGCGGGTAAAAGATAATGGATGGATGGATGGATGGATGGATGGATTATGTCTCATTACCAAACCCTTCACTTGTGTCTTAAAGTGGCGGATACAGCTACAAAAAGGCAGAACGATGCATGAATGTGGCAACAGGATGACTAACTGTCTTACTTCAGTTTATTAAGAAGTTAATAGATATTTTAATTCCCAGCTGCAGAAAATAAAATCAGGTAACTACAGCTCTAAACATCTATCTATATCATTTATCTCCAATAGATGTACAAACAGAAAAACATTAAACATTCAGGTTTTTTTTTATCTAGTTTTTTTTTTTACTTGTTTTTTTCTCTCTTCTATACATTATGGAAACATTTAACAGCAGGTTTCAGCGATTCAACAAACCCTGTAAAATCCATCTATGTTTCTTTTTTAAATTTTACATCAGCATTTAGTTCTTTTTGTGAACTCGCCAACAGTAGTAGCAGATCGCCAGAGCAAATCTCCTGATGACTTCCAGTCTCCTCATGACTGTGATTATTTAGCTACAAAATCCATGCCACTGTAATTATCCCGTCCTTTTCAACGATTAAATGATCTGGGGGAAATTTAATGGGGGTAAAAATAGCCAATGACAGAAAAGAAAAACTCAGTGGTCAGGTTTATTTGCAGCTAGATCCAAATATTTTAGAACAATGTTATCACCGGCTGTGAGAGATCAAATTAATGAGACATTCCTAAAAAGATTTAAATTAAAACAATCAGCAGCGCTGCAGTAAAAGGTCAGATGTCTCTCAGAGTCACTACAGGGTGGCATGACTAAGCACCAACAAGGGAGATGTACATTCCCCCTTCAGACATGAGACACAAGATGGTTGGCAGCCAACCAGAGCATTTTTGAGCACCCCACCCCTCTCCATGTGCCCCATTTCACTGAAAAAAATCCTTAATGTGACATGCAGCATGCCATAAAACCCACTCTCATCAGATTATGTTACAAAGACACCTACTCTGAGAGGATTAGCAGCTCACACAACAAGAAGAGACAGACAGAGCAAGGGTCAGTAACCCATGAAGATTCTGAAAGAAGACGAGTCAGTGTCTAAAAGGGATGTCCACATCAACACAGCTTGTTTAGTCTCTGTAAATAGCTTAACCTACCAAGTGAATTGTTTAGGTCACTTTATGTGCTTGCACTCAGGGCTCAGTTTGGTGCGGAATAAAGTGCTGCTTTTTGATGCAACAAACTGCAGGATATGTCTTTTCAAAGAGGCCTTGAGAAATTCATGGATCACCACCTCTGATGATTTCTGTCAGGTTTTGAAACGAGTCCTCCACCGTTCAAATGCTATTAGGACAATGGTTCTCAAACTGGGGTCCCCGGACCCCCAGGGGTCCGCGAGCCAGTGCTTGGGAGTCCACAAAAATAAAACAAAATAAATTAAAAATGTTTTTTTTTTTTTTTTTTTTTACAAGCATCCATCCATCCATCCATCCATTTTCTTTACCCGCTTGTTCCATTTTGGGTCACGGGGGTCGCTGGTGCCCATGTCCAGCAATCACTGTGCGAGGGGCGGGGTACACCCTGGACGGGTCGCAAGTCCATCACAGGGCCACATAGAGACAAACGAGACAAACAACCATTCACTTTCTCATTCACACCTAGGGACAATTTAGAGTTACCAATCAGCCTAACATGTATGTTTTTGGTCTGTGGGAGGAAACCGGAGTACCCGGAGAAAACCCACGCATGCACGGAGAGAACATGCAAACTCCACCCAGAAAGGCCCCTGGACCGGGGTTTCAACCAAGGACCTGCTCACTGAGAGGCAGCAGCTCTACCAGTTGTGCCACCGTGCTGCCCTACCATACCATACCATACCAATTTATTTATAAAGCACTTTAAACAGTGACAAAGCACACCAAAGTGCTGTACAGGGACAAACAGAACAAGCACATAGCAACAGATTACATAACAGGACACCAAAAAGTAGAAACAAACAAAAACAATAATGGATAACAACAACAACCGCAACAGGACTAACACAGTATGATGCACACAGACTCAGCACAGATCACACAGTGCAGAAAGCCAGGGAATAAAAGTGTGTTTTTAAGCGAGATTTAAAAACTGTGAGGGAGGGGGCCTGTCTAACGAACAGAGGTAACTCATTCCAAAGTCTTGGGCCTGCTACAGAGAAGGCCCTGTCACCTCTGCGCTTGAGACGGGTTCCTGGGACTGTTAGGAGCAACTGGTCTGCTGATCTGAGAGAACGTGGTGGGACATACGGCTGGAGCAGATCAGTAAGATAGGAGGGGGCAGAGCTGTTTAGTGATTTATAGACATACAAGAGTATTTTGAATTTGATTCGAAGGTGAACCGGAAGCCAGTGTAGGGAGGCCAAAACAGGTGTAATGTGCTCTCTTTTGCTTGTGCTGGTCAAAAACCGGGCTGCTGCATTTTGGACCAGTTGGAGTCTAGCTATGGAGGTCTGACTGATACCAAAAAGAAGTGAGTTGCAATAGTCGAGCCTGGATGTAATGAATGCATGAATTACTGTCTCCAGGTTATTTTTGGACAATATGGGCTTCAGCTTAGACAGTCGCCTCAGCTGGAAAAAGCAGGATTTAACAATCATATTTACATGATTGTTGAGTTTCAGAGAAGGGTCAAGTATCACTCCTAGATTAGTGACTCTTTGTTTCACTAACGGTGACAGAACGGATAGGTCGATGCAGTGGTTGGTGATTGTGTCATTGGGAGGAAAGAGCATAACTTCAGATTTCTTCTCGTTGAAACTCAAGAAATTTAAAGCCATCCAATCTCTGATGTCAGCCAGGCAGTCCAGTAACGGTTGAATAGAGCGAGTACCGTTGAGTCTGAGGGGGAAGTAGATTTGGCAGTCGTCGGCGTAGAAATGAAAAGGTATGTTATGTTTCCTGAAAATAGCACCTAGTGGCAGCAGGTATAAAGAAAATAAAAGAGGACCAAGGATGGACCCTTGCGGTACCCCCCATTTAAGCGCTGCCGAGGCTGAACTAAAATCTTTGATGGAGACACAAAAGGACCTGTCAGCGAGATAAGATCTAAACCATTCGAGGGCTGACCCAGAGATGCCCACCCACTGCTCTAACCTCGCAATGAGGATCTCGTGGTCGATTGTATCAAAGGCGGCTGTGAGGTCC